GCCAGTCCTCCATGGTTTCACACATTCTCCACCATCTCTGCATCATCTGACAGGCCCTGGGCTAACAGAGCCAGGGTTTTATTCAACATGCTGTTGCAGATATAGAAAAAAAGCTGTTTCCAGTCGTGGAGTGATTTGTGCTGCTCTGACTCATAGCAAGCCTGCTGCAGACAGGCTACCACAAATATTTGGGTGAGCCATCTCTGTGTGGAGCCACTTGATGGCCTCTTCTCCCTTCTGTTATGCCTTTTCTTATTGAATCCCTGCGAGTTTTCCTTTAAAGATTTTACTTTCTGTTTCCATCTTACCATTTTTCCTTGGTCACTTTTTCCAACTCCTTTAACATCTCTCCCTTTCTTTTCTTTTTACACCACACTGCAGTTTTTTTTTTCTCTCGTACACAGTCTCCCCTCTCACAAGCTTTTTTTCTTCTTTTATCAGAGCCCTTGTGCATATGTTATTGTTATAAATATAAGGTTTCTCTTCTGCAATACGATCTGTGGTCACGCATGTAGCATCATGGGGGATATTAAGTCTGTTTGCTGCTTTGTCAAATGTATCAACTTTAAAAGAAGGCTGTATTTATATCAGGAAACATGAAATCAAACATGATAGCTCATATATATTTGAGTTTGAAAGGCCTCAGAAGGATTTGATGAGACAGACAGAGAGTTAGATTTAAAAAAAAAAAAAAAAAAAAAAACAGTACGAAACATGATGTGGGTGCGTGTCAGTAAAAAAGTTTTGTTACTTTGCATTGATCGCTCTCAGTGGAGCCTTGTGCAGTGACCATGCACCGCAGCAGCTGTCATTCCAGCAGCCTTGGCCAAGTTCCTGACAGCTCCCTGGACATGTGTTCTTCTCCCCACTTCTTTCTCCTCACTTCTCCACTCATTTTCTGCAAACTCGGGCTTAATTAACCACAAAGTCCAGCACACCTACAGCTGTGGGGTTTGGAAAGTGGAAGCAGAGATGAAGAGATGAAGTGAGAGTAGTAGTCAGTCTTACCTAGATATGTCACATATACCGCTGACACGTTTTTTCCACTGCCCTTAATACCAGACCTGTGAGCTCTGGGATCCTTTTATTGTGCAGCATGTGATTTTATAACCGTCACAACAACAGTGAGATAAGTTTGAATTACTCCTGCATATGGGAATGAGATACTTCCAGAGGGATAAGCAGATTCTTTATTTGTGTGTCTCCTTGGCTATATAACACGAATTAGGTCACTCCTCAGCGGCTGGTCCGGTGCAATCTGTGGGATTAAAAAAAAAAAAGGCAGCAGCGATTATCTTTGTCATTTCTGTAATAACTGTAAAGATTAAATATAGCTTCAAATATGAATACCTGTGGGACTAAGTGCACCATGGCTATAAATAAAAATCAGTTAAAACATTCAACTTTTGCTATGGCACAACCAATCCTGGGCCAGTGCTGTAGGACCTAAAAACTGCAGTTCCTGTCACGGCCACTTGAGGCTACCTTTGATTAAAGAAAGTACCGTATTAAAATCTCTTTAGTCTACATACCTTTCCTCTGTTTATTGATATAATTAATATAAAATTAAGTAAAGAAGTAAAGAACAGTCTAAAGCATGAATGTCAAACTTATTTTACATCAGGGACCACATACAGCACACTTTGATCTCAAGTTTATCTCCACATTAAAATCACTGTGATTTCTTAATATAAGGAAAAGTGTGATTTCAACAGCACATGTCAGCTTTTGTACATGATAAAGAAATAATAATGCTCTATTTAATAAAATAAATTTGTCAGCATAGCTCTTTGGGCTTAAATTGGAAGAAATATGTTTTGAAATTACAGAAAAAGATTTGATAGCTCATTTCCCAGACTGCCCTGTAATTATAAAACAAAGTTTTTGTTAAATATTTGTTTGTTTTTTATTTCACTGTGGACACATTGTAAATGCAGTAGGCAGAATTAAAGTCTTTGCCAGGCTAATTTTGGCCCTCAGGCCACATGTTTGACACCACTGGTCTAAGGAGTCAGTTCAGTTTACTTTAGTTTAGTTTATTTGAGGTCTCTCTAAGTAGAGTCATAAAGTCAGTTAGTTCACATTAGCTTACATTTAATACCAGAAAGCCCCTTCTTACTGGATCAGCAAAGGATACAGATGCTAAATCCCTGATTTCATTATAAGCAAGAGCTTATGAATTCAAAATTGAATTTTTTAGAGAAAAGGTGTCTCTTTTGTTCTCTTAAATCTACATCACTTACATTAGCATGTGCCTCTCATTGTTTATCCTTATTTTCTAGCACGGCTGTGGGAACTTCATCCGGGTGGTGCAGCCTTATAACAGAACTCATCTGTTCATGTGTGGCAGTGGAGCTTATAGTCCCGTCTGTGTGTACGTCAACAGGGGCCGCAGACCAGAGGTGGGTATAAATGAAGGAAGCACTTCATTAGAAAAGCAAACTCATGAAGGAATAAATGTTTTGGGGGAGCACCGAGTAGGTGATCATTGCAACTGGCACTGTAACAGCTGTTACAGATTAAAATTTTCATTGTGCAGAGTGATTATACACAAACATGATCTCAAGAGTGGAAAAATAAAATAAAGTCTAGCACTCTTGTAAATTTGTAAATATATTGTAAATGACTGGGTTGTAATGGTGCACAAGTGAGGCTAAGGACACTTTGTAAAGTTTATGGAAGTTTTGGTTTCTCTGTTATTTCCAAAACAAGCTTGTGTCAACTATGTTGAGCAAATATAATTAAAATGATGTAATTTATTTAGCTCCTGAAAACTTTTGTTGACTGTTAATACAATGTGCGATGAGTGAAATTAGTGTGAGTACTACCACACAGAGAAAATAAGCAAATCGTATTCACTGTGTGGCAGTAATCATAAAAAATGCCTCAAGAGGTCTGTTTACCCCTTATGTACAATTATTTAGAGGTTTGAACCCAACATGACATGTTTTTGACTGATTGCTATAATAACATGAAAATTGAATTTTCCTTGTATTACTGGCTGTTGGAATGAGAACAGCAAAATTCAGAATCGCTAAGTGCGGAAAATACATTAAGCTGATGTCAATTGGTGTATGAGAAAATGGCTATAATCATACCACAACATTGTTTTCGCAGATCTCCTAGGAGTTGGAAGTGTCAACATATGGTTAAAAAAAACTTACACATCTCATAACTTTTTTTTGAGCACAGTTTTCATGTAGTCAATTTGATGCCACATAAGAGCTGAGATGCGAAGGCTGAGAAAGAGAAAACTGAGGTCTAGTGTCAAGGATGGATGGCTGTTTTCTGAGCTCTAATCTCCAGCCACACAGCCCTGAAAGTAAGAGCGGGGAAGCCCTCCAGGAGAAAAGTGCTCACCGAGCGAGCAGCATTCAGCCACAGACCGTCAGCTGCTGCCAAACACTAATAAGCAGAGCGAGAGAGCTGCAAACCAGGCTCCTTCCTCACTGCGGGGCCTTTTGTCATTTGGGGTTTTTGTTTGACAGGCAGACTGCTATGTTTGCAACTTCTGAACTCAAACATGTCAGTGTCTCAAAAAAAGTGATCTGTTAAGTGTAACAAGGTGTTGTAGTGGGAAGCTGACAGTGAGCTCTCATCGTGGACCTTTGCTCTAGGTTGTGAACATGCTGCAGCCTGTTGAATGGACGTAACAAGATTTTTTTGCACGTGTTAGTGTTTTTCGGCCTTAGTTTTTCAAGTACTCCTAAAACACATAGTGAATTACATACTGCGATAAATGTCAGTCTTAGTAAGGGAATTAATCTTTTATGTAGTCTTTAAATCTTTATATGGTGTCATAAGTCTGTTTTTTCACGAGTGCACATAGCACATTTATTTGTTGAAAAAAATTACTTTATAGATCTCCTTCTAATAAAAGGAAAAAACAATCTGAACTTAATATCAAATAATTCGTGGATGATGAACTGCATGTTTATCCCTTCATCTTTGTGCAAATTCTTGGAACAATGCTGCTTAACAAAGGTCAATGAGCCAAATGAATTACAAATAAATGAGACATTTTTTTCAGATGAGAGGGGCTTTAAAATTAATAAGATGGCTATTTTTTGCAGTGTAGAGGTTAATGACAGGACCTGCCAGATGGAGTCTATCGGCTTCCAGAACCTCTTGGCAAACAGGCATATTTTCCTAGAATAACAGTGCTTAGCTGACGTCATCCCCATTCAAGGAAGCTGCACCATCGCCATGGGCAAGATCTAAATAAGATGGGACAGGAAGTGCTATAATTTACCTAGGTTGCTGCGGTGCTTGGACTGTCCAGTCTGCCGCAAGGAGGCTATTGAAACTTGGCAGCATTTCCGCCTGAGAAGAGGAGTTGGCTGTCCAACAAATAAGCAGGGAAATTCCTCCTCTTCTCCTCCCAAACGGAATGTTCTTTTACTATCCCACATGGAGCAGTTAAGGTAGACCAGGGCAGGACAGCCTCTGTGTCTCCTTAAAGGAGGCTCTGAGCGGGGCTCCTCTGTGGGACACAAAATACACTGTTGCACTCAAATATTCAGTTTTATAGCGGTAGAGAGCACAAGACACAAGAACGTATCATATAAAACTGTCTCCAAAATGTCTGACTTCCTCTTTTTCTCTGTGGCAGGAACAAGTATTTCACATTGACTCCAGGACAGAGTCAGGAAAAGGGAGGTGCTCCTTCAATCCACAAGTGAATACAGTCTCTGTCATGCTCAGTAGGTGCCTCAATCGCTATCTACTATTTTTTTTTTCTTGTTTTTTTCTAAAACCCCTGAAAACAAAATTACATTTCTTTTGTTTTGGAGTGAAGTTTTTGAAGCAAAAACAAGAGTATGCATAAGCCATTAGATTTAAAAGATGGCCACTCTGACCTTTTGCCTGGGAAATCTTTTTCTACCTTTGTTGTGACATGATGACCAAAGACAGGCGCATTTCATATGCAGCCGTATGACTATGGTTTACACCCTAAGTTATAATCTGCATTGTTATTTATTTGGCTGTAAATGAAGTTCAAGAGTCCTTGATAAACTTTTCACTTAGGCAATAAATCAAATGAGCCTTGAACAAATAGAACAAATGAACAAATAGAAGTTATACAATGGAAGGTACTTTGAAACTGGTGTCACTTTTTCAAACTGGAGGCTAGCTCATAGAGGCTAGCAAGTATTGAACAAATAATATCAACACAGGCAATGATGAGACGGCCTATAGAGAGGAGGTGATGGC